GTCTGTATCGTCTCGTAGACTCGCGGCCAATCGTCGGCTCAGTTCTCGAGGCATTATCTTTGCTCGGCCAGGTAAGCGGTAGCGCAAACAAAACTTCGGCACGAGCAACGGATAATCGCACTTTCCAGACTCGAAGGCTTTACAGCCAACTAGAACTCAATACAATCGATGAGAGACTATTCAAACGTTGAGACAATCGAAATGTAATTGCGTCGCCCCGATCTCCCTGAATGGCAATTCATTTTCCAAAGGTTGCCGTCGACGTTACTTCGTCCCCTCCAATCTCACTTCACCTCTCGCTGGAACTCTTCCTTACATCCCACATCTTTTGTCGGAAAGAAGTTTTATGGAAAGCAACGTTACGCCACCAGATAGTAGAAATCATGAACCTGATCGCAGAAACAATTATTCCCGTGAAAGGTAATGGAGCCAGTTACTGCGAGGTAGCCAGTTACTGCGCCTTTTGTTTATTTACAAGCATAATTCACTCAATATTTATCTCATAAGACGTGTCAAATTATTTCATTTTAATTCAATTAATTATTTATTCGTTAAAATTAAACGTGTCAAAGACAAAAGTTCTTTTACTATTTATTATTCTTCAAGACATTGTACACATGTATGTTCGAACATAACGCGCGTAACAACTAGTCAATATTGTTGGTATTGCATTTTTATGTGTTTGCAATATTTATATGGATATAGGAATGTTTGATATTGCATAATATATCCATATCAAATTAATGGAACGTTGAAACATTCGTTTTCTATTTTTTAATTGTTATCTCTATTTTCAAAAACTATAAAAATATTTCTGGAAATGTTTTTATTTTGTTTTTATTTTAAAATCATACGAAGTCGAAATAAATCCAGTCTTGGCAATTGCTATAAAACAATATACGTTAGCCGCGTTTAGGGCTCGGTAATTCTAGTGTTAACACAATTTTAAGATTGTCGCATCACTTTACAAAAATGGAAATAACTTATAAAATGTCAGAATTAAAGTCTTAATTATCAATAAAATGATTACTTCCAGTCATCCGGCATTTCACGGGTGCAGTGAAGAAAATGACTATTTTTAGTCATTGTGTTAAAGCCAAAGTGTTAATATGAAACTGGTCTCTTGAGAGATCCACTTCGAGACGACTTTAAAACGTCCAGTTTAGATCGCGAGATATCCAGACCTAAAGAGGTCGTAAAATGGACGTCTCTAAGATGTGTGCTATCTGGATTATTACCATGACGAATTCGGGGAACCAATGGAATACGTATTAATCGTGGTCGAGACGGTGTTCAATCGACATGTATCGCATTGATTTTTACGTTAATAGTATATTTACAGTCCAACCTCGAAATATTCGTCGCGTCTGAAACTTCTTTCGGTGACGTTCCCCTAGAATTCTCTGACACGCAGTCCCGCAGCGACGGGAGCAGCGCTGCCCGAGGGGCATGATTTCAAAAATATTTTCCAGGCATGATTGACGAGAGTTCTTCGTTCCTTCTCCCCGGTGATTACAGGTGGACCAGCGAATCTATGGCGATTAAATCGAAATCACTGTAGGCGCTCGTCACCAGGTTTCGATTCGTTTTCCGAGAAGGGTTTGAAATCGATCTCAAACTTGAAAGTTAATCGACAGCTCTGCAGCCCTTCAAGGGTTCAGTCCTTACGCCGCGCGTCGCGGCGCACAGTGGGGCAAAGCGGCGAGGTTGTGTCGATCGAAATGAGATAAAGCGATGATTTTTTCTTTACATGACAAAATTATTCAACATGCTGTTGGATAAATCACAATTTTGCTGGAACATTTCCAAATTTTCAAGGTTTAAAAATGTTCACGTTATATTCCCTTTATATTTCCCTTATTCTGCAAGATTTCAACTTTAATCTAAAAAAGGATCATCATTTTATCACATTTCTATCAAAAGTTCTTTCATTCTGATACAACTTCGTTATTCTGCCTCACACTACAAGTAATAAAAAGTTTGATCTACCATGACCTTTGTACAATATGTATGTACATATTTGTAATTTATAATGTGAATGCAAAAGAAGCCCAAGTGATACAAATCAGAATTACTCTGCACACACAGTCGTATACTACAAATAAATACTACAAAATTACTATAAAATAAATAATAAATACTGTAAAAAATTATAATATCTTTTTTATAATAAATACTGTAAAAAATTATAATATCTTTTTTATAATACATACAATAAAAAAGATACTATAAAAAGTGGATATATAAATATCTTCTTCTATAATTTCTTATTTCAATTACCAATTTAAGAGTTAATCGACAAATTGCCATTTTCCGAGACTCGTTACGGGAGAACGAAATGCCATGGAAAATAATTTCAATGTTGGGCGCGCAACAATGTAAAACGATTCCGATTGTCTGTGCGCGGAGGAGACAATCCCTCGAAACCGCTCATTTCGCGTGCAGAAACGTTTAAAAAAATAGAATTCTTTATACGAGAATCGACGACGAAATAAAAAAAAAAAAAAGGAAGATAGAAATGTGGAAAATGCAACGCTCGAATATGTGCGACTAAAGTGTTGACAGCAACGATGACTATCGGACGATGTCCACGTCGGGCTACGCGGAAACAACGAAGTCCGAAAACAGAGAGATAGAGCACGACGAGGACCATTCAGCGACAGGAACGCTGTTATGTCGGTCCAGCACGAAGAGCCTCGGATTGCAGATTTAAAAAAAATACAAACGAAAAAAAGAGAAAAAAACAGCACTATACAGTCGGATATCGCTGAAACCTTTACTAAGAGATGCAGGCAGAGTCGCGCGCGAGCAACGCGGAGGGGGAGGTTGCAAGACGCAAGCCAAAATTCGTTCTGGGCAGGGAGAGGGGAGGGGAGAGCACACTTCCACTTTTCCCCCTCACTCGCATTTTCATCCGCGACTTAGAACATTCCTCCCGCCAAAGTGGAAGCTCATTCGTTCTACGCGTTGACTGCCATTTGTGGGAAAAATGAGTAACCGAAGTATAAAATTATAAAGCCGCGCGCGCGTAGGAAGTATTGAATAACATTGGTAACTGTTTTCAGCTTAAGAAAATTGTTCAAAGAAACAATTTATTTTCATTGAATTTCCGTTTCATACAATGTTGGAAAATTGTTTGTTTTACATAAAGTTCCGCAGTCTACTAATTACACTCGGTAGTCACTTTCAAGGAAACGTTGTGCATAAAAATATGCTCATCGAGAATACAGAATATACAGAATATCTTCAACGTGTTTCGAACGAGTAGACCTGTGAGTTTTGCGCATTGACGTCAGAAAGGAGTAGATTAAATGGAAAATTGCTGTAGGCTGATTAGAATGACAAAGAAAAAAAGAATGAATGTTTAACAGATTTCGCGGCGGACAAGGAAAAACCACGGGTAAAGGACAAAAAGATACCACACGTATGCTACCATTTATAGTTCTGAAGGTAATATATTGTATAGCAACAAACTGAAACTATACTGTCCGTACTTGTATTTATCAACAAAAGTCTCGTAGCAGAGGTCGGCGAAATGATAGCACATGTGTTAATATACATGAAACATTTACATAACAAAACTTAAACATTTGTGTAATAAAAATGAGATAAATTGAAACAAGTAGTTTACTTCTCATACGATAACATGATTAAAAGGATTTTCATTTTATATAAAATTAATGTAATTCATTCACTGTCCGAATATTTTTGCGACGTATAGAATTTTGTCACAATCTTGTTTATCGCTTATCATATAAAAAAGCCATGTGGAATAAACAAACAAAATTTATGTTTCTACGTATTATTTCTACGTATGTTTCTACGTTTAAGAAGTGCTTTATTATATGAGAAAACAATTGATTCAATAATAATATCTTAAACAATAAAAAGGAGCAATAATTCTTCTAACAATATGATGACTGAATATTAATGCGAGTCACTGTATATTACCTTAAAACGATGTTTATGTACCATTTGTAAAATGAGGAGAATTCTTAATTTATCTTTGAGAACTAAATCGTAGAGCATACGTGCGCAATCGGTTTGCCCAGGAGTGCATGAGCAAGCATGAACGCGGAGTGGGGACGTGAGAAAAGAAAGAGCGAAGTGTTTACGTTTTCCTGCCATACTACCTCTCTCGCTCGCACGCGTTGCCGTTAGATGCCGAGCTATTCTCCTGAATCTCGACGTCACTTAATGTTGATCTCTCCAACCGCCTTCGGCCAAATGTATGTAACTACTGAAATAATGTATGTAATTACTGAAAATCGCTGACCGAACGTACAAGCTGTTTAACTACTCTGATCTGCGCAATTTCTGCGCCTTGTAATTAGTGAAGATGATTTTTATTTTGCGACAGAAGCCACAGTCTAAATGTAAGAAATGTTTACAGCATAAATGATTTTCAAAGGGAGGGGGGCATCGTGGCAGATAGATTTTTCTTTACTCTCTTGGTTCGTTTTTTCAAGACTTTTTCAAGATCGTCATTGTCAGTTTAGAAGAGGACATTGTACGACAGTGATACGAAAACTTAGATACCGTTTATGATATTAACGCATTAACTGGCAACCACGGTTAAGGGTCCATTATATTAACAGAAATAACAAGGATTTATTTATTATTTTTTACTTATTTCCTACTTTCTATTTATTCGTTATTTTCAACTTATTATTATTTATTCAAAATAGGCTTGGCAGTCGATGATCAATCCTCGTCCTTTCCCGATGTCAATTTAACACTATTTTGAAGCTTCAGAGTATATTAATCGGCTATTTTTACGAAAATTGATCTGAGACTTCATTTCGTTAACATTGAGTATATGCGCATCTATTATGACTAGATTGCGATAGTTGATACTAATGCACATGTTTTTAGAAAATGACCAATGAGAGACCAATGAGATGTGGACAGTAATTTATGTCATGATCAGGTGATCTCACACGTTTCGTATATTTATACATTGTCGACTAGCTATTCAAATTTGTCATCGGCACAAGTTATGCGTTCCGCGTGTGTGCGATACCGCGCCGGGCCGGGTCAGGCCTGAAATTACGAAATAAATTGCGGGCCACTCACCTGTAGACCCGATCTCAAGGGTAACGTGATAGCCGGGATCGTCGAGTAGCAGTTGCATAGTAGTCAACGGACGTGTTGTCAGTGAGTTCTGCGAGCCGGCGATCGAAGGTAGTCGGCCACAAATCAGACCGCCGTGATCCTGACCAGTTGTCGCTGCACAGTCACCCTGGACATCTTCGGTGGATCTTCATAAGGGAATGTTGTGCAATTCCCGAAATTGGGAGTGATCGAGTCTTGCTTCGGGAACAGGAAAGACGAAATCGAAAGGTGAGAATTCGAGAAATCATTTTTCGAATTTTTATTGTCGCTAATTATTTTCGAAAAACTAGAGGACGCTTCTAAGAGATAGTAATCATTTTGCAACAGGTCACCTGTTATTTTGCAATGTTCTCTGTGCAATAGATGCACGAAGAACTTAACTGTAGTTGACAATAATATGTTTCTAGTGCCGGTTTTTTATTATTATTTATTTTCATTTCTGAGTCTCATCGCACTCTCCACGGCAGTCTCAATTGTTTAAACCGCTTAATTATAAATTGCAACGTTTTTCACGACACACTAGACTTCTATAATGATTTTTTTAAATCATTTACTGTACCACTATGCTACTATACTGCTTCTACTATCGCTGCGGTTCATGGCTTGTGTTAACATTTTAATTATTGGCTTAAAGCCTAAGTATGGTAATTCTCTTAAAAGTTTAATTCTTTGTATTATCTAATAAACAGTTTTCCCATAGAAATCAACGAATAAATAAATTAGTATAATCTTTTCCTTATCAATAGACTGCGGATATTTATGCAAATGCATCTTTTTTTTTAGAAAATAAGTACACCCACGGGAACTAGACAGAAAATTTTGTCGTGATCGAGTGATCCTAAAAATTCTTTTTTCGTTTACTTTCCGTATTTCGCATATTGCGTGTATTATTAGCCGTGTACATGCATATATCCTTAACTTCGCATGTTGAAAAATCTTCGTCATGTTGTAAGAGTGTCATAAAGATTAGGGCATGGACAGTTCACGAGCAGATGTAAACAATCCAAAGTCACACGTGATAGAATTCAGTCGGGCACGTGTCGTTGAAGTCATTTTATCGGTGAAGTCGTGAAGTATTCAGCGTCTCGTTTTCATTTAAAACACGTTGTCTTTGTTGATGTAGAAAAATGTGTCAACAGAATTTTGTTGTGTTCAGAGCTGCGAATATTGCGACGCGCGTTGTTTTCCTCTCAAATTCTTCAAATTTTTTTCAAGTATCGTAGGTCGTCGCTGTTTCTCGCACATTAACCTTTGCTTTCTGAACGCCATAATTGTGTCGTCTACACGTGTTTTCTGTCAGCGACACTCGGACTATAAATTAAAGCGTTGCGTGATTACTGCGGAGCCAACATACCAAATTCATTATCGAAATTTTCGATTGACAAACCAGCCTGCGGATCTTGATACACTTACGTATAATTATCGTACGCAGATTAGAATATGTAAAATACGTTTCCATTACCATTTTACGTCATTTAAATATTGACGACACTAATAATTCTGAATCGCCAATAACCCATTCAGTGATTGACGCGACTTTGAACGCTGGATATAAAAAAGAAAAAGATGGTAATTTCAAGTGAAATATAAAATGATATAACGTCGTGGACACAATTCCAATTACAGAGATAAAGGAACGTATTTGAAATTGTAGAAAAAATAACTCGAGTTAGAGGAACTTTTATTTCGATTTACAAAGAAGCAGCGAAATGCTATTAACAAAATATTCGCCTTATCGAAGCATTCGCGTTAAAGAGGCTCGAGTTATCGAAGTTCGACTGTGTATTGATATACCATCTTATAGAATTTATATACGAATTTTTTTAAATAATCTCTTTACAAAAGACAGCCGAGGACAAATGGTTTAAGTAGTATGCCAATTAGAAGGGTCGACGAATATCAATATATAATTAACTCTATTAAAACCACGAGGAAAGAACTTTGCGGCGGGCAATAAATTATGGAGTTCTACGCGCAAAGATTTCGAACATTTTTAGGAATCCAAGTTGGACCCATCACTTCGTTCTGTTTCACCTCCGAACAGGTTACTACGAAATGAACCGGTTGCCACGAAACGACCTTCGTAAAGTAACTTTCATAACCATGCGTAATACAATGATAAGCAATCTGATAATTCGGTCCGTAAGAAGCGTCGTGAACGTGTTAAAGACGTAAATCAGTTCTATCGCAGGAGAAAAGTTGGCTATCTAATTTTATCACAGCAATTATCTGTCTACACAACTGAGAACGCTGACGGCCATCAATGAAAGTCAAAGGTCGCGAACGTAAAGATTTACACACGCAAAAAATCTTTAGTCAGCTAATAGTCTAATAATTTCCTAATAGTGATTTTTGATTCGAGCGATTCATTAGTAACAGGCCGCCATTTGTCTTGAACGGAACCAACGAGCAAAATCCAAAGGAACATTCCAATTTCTCCCAACAAAGCTAAGCAGTTTTTGAGTATCGTTGGCGCGTTTGTGGCATGTCCCGTAGTGTTTGTTGCATGCTTCTTCTGCAAAATTTATTTATTACGTGAACGTGCTGTCAATCATTGGAAGTAGTCTTCCAAAGACTGACTTTGTCGAATTGAGGGGCTTTACACAAGATATGTATAAAGTGTAGATTTTTGTCGATTAGATTCCCTTGCGTGTGTAGATTGAACAATAAATATTGACTTGTTTGATGACACGGATCATTGAAGGTATACGATGCCAAAGCTAATGCGGTAGAAACCGGTTAGTGACTAAGGTATCGACAAATTAATGACGACGAAATCGAAATTGTTTGCTATAACTGAACGACAGCATTCGGAAGCACCGACCGGATAACGTTTGTTTACCGACAATTTGAATATACAAATCGTATAATCGATGTTCATGATTAATACTAAATGTTCTCTACAGGACAACAAACGTGTCTTCTCAAAAGAGATGGAAGACTTTCTTTTGTTACAGACACGATGATATTCACGATCTTCATGTTACTGTTTCTGCACTTCTTAAGCTTCGTTTGCAAACCTTTCTCTGCGCTAATCCGCATCGTCAAGCCACCTCGATTACCACCGATCACCAATTCATTATTAAAAGAAAGTGCGAGTTCGTTGGCTGAGAAGATCAGAAATAGGAAGGTAAGATTATCCTATGTGAATCTGAGTTATGTAGAATTACGATAGAATTACTCAAGGAATAACAATCACAAACCAATTCAATTATATTGTAATTCGTAGTTCAGATCGCCATTGAATTAAATTACAAAGTATTTCAATTATAGTGTAATTCACACACACAATTACATTATAGTTCAATTACATTGTAATACGTAATTCAGATCGCCATTGAATTAAATTACAAAGTATTTCAATTATAGTGTAATTCACACACACAATTACATTATAGTTCAATTACATTGTAATACGTAATTCAGATCGCCATTGAATTAAATTACAAAGTATTTCAATTATAGTGTAATTCACACACACAATTACATTATAGTTCAATTACATTGTAATACGTAATTCAGATCGCCATTGAATTAAATTACAAAGTATTTCAATTATAGTGTAATTCACACACACAATTACATTATAGTTCAATTACATTGTAATACGTAATTCAGATCGTCATTTAATTAAATTACAATGTAATGTGCGTAATTCAATATGAGTACAATTGCAAAATACTATGTTATTCAGTTACATTAATTACGAATTACAATGTAATTGAATTACATCAATTACACAACTGAATTAGCACAACCCTGGCTATGAATCATGTAGTTTCGGTTCTCATTCTTCTAATCGTGGCACTATTGTCAAATTTGTCTTGCTCGCTTTAAACATAGGAAAATGAGGTCCTATCGCTTTTCATCCTATCGCTACGATCACATTTTCTAATTGCAGCATTACTCTAAATTGTCCTTACACATTTTTACCACGAAATCATAAGATCCAGTCCTATCCTTTAAAATCTCTGGATAATTGTTCAAGACCTAGACGTCCCCCAGAGAAACATGATCGAATGTCATCCAGCCATTCGTCCTATCGCCGCAAGAAATAAATCAGAAATTTTGTAAAAAGAAGTAGACTTATCGAACGGCAACAGTCGCCTCTAGCAACTTGATAATTTCTGACTTTTCCATTGAATGAACCAAGCTGTCCAGCGAAACGCTAGTGCGGGCATGCATCGACCGGATCAAAGAGGTGAATCCTTTTCTGAACGCAGTAATCGAGGACCGATTCGACGAGGCATTGACGGATGCGAAGAAGTGCGACGCTATACTGAAGAGCGGAAAAATGACCGCTGCTACGCTGGAGAAGGAGATGCCGCTTTTCGGTATACCTATCACCGTCAAAGAGAGCTTGAGCCTAAACGGTATGAACCGCAAAGAGTACCTATCTGGATCAGAGGGAGGGAGAGGGAGGGGAGGAAACGTGCTAAATATAATTCTATTTAATCAGGAATGAGCTACACAGGAGGCAATTTTGATCATAAAGGTCGAAAAGCTTCTAGGAACAGTCCAGCAATAGAGATGTTGTTAAACGCCGGAGCGATTCCATTGTGCGTGACAAATACGTCGGAGCTTTGCTGTTCTATTCACACCTCGAATGTTCTGACCGGAGCGACGAATAATCCGTATGACACCAGGATTTCGCCTGGAGGATCCTCAGGCGGAGAGGTGAAAAAACCAATTACTAGACTATGCTTGCAAATGCCCAAAGTCGAAGTGCTTTTCTGAGATGGGAGCAACTATTCACAGTGCACCTGTCCACCACTGTAATTTAAAGTCCAGCATCCAAAAGATTCAAAGAAGCTTCAATTCAAGCTTAAATTGCACCTTGAAAATGTCTCTTCGATAATTACAGGCAGCATTGCTTGGTGCTGGAGCGTCTGTGCTTGGCATCGGCTCGGATTTAATCGGTTCCATAAGGATACCGAGTCTTTTCAGTGGCGTTTTTGGTCACAAACCTACCACGGGTAAGATTCTAGAAGATTTCTAAGAACGTTTCGCCCAAACAGGTCTAAGCTGTTCTAACTGCAACTGCACAAGTGTTTCTGGAACCTGAAATCGCATCCAAAAATTTTACACCGCTTTGAAAATCAAGGTCGTATGATCAAAGTGGATAAATAAGTTTTTGGAGAAACATCCTGTACAATGGGAGAACTCAGACTATTAGCGCCGATTAGCAACAGCTTCGTGGCACTACGTTTCGTTTGATCAGAGCAAACGCGTGTCATAAGTAGACTGCGAATTTTATGCACTTACAGCAAAAATGAGTAGGTGAAGTACAAACTAATAAATATTATCAAAGAATTATAAGCATACTGTCACGTATTTTTGATACATTGACGCGATTAAATGAAGAAATACATTTTTATCTAACTTCGGTATTCTACAGTTAACATCGAAATATTTGATTTTGCATAAAGATTCGCAGTTTGGTCGTAAATGAAACCTCTACCGTCAGAGGCGCGAGAATAGATCTGAGAAGCCTAACTAGTCCGAAGTAATCCGAACGTCGGTGACGTCGCGGTTTAGCCGGCATCCTGGCGTCACTGATTGTGTACATTTCAATAATAATAATAATAATAATATATAATATATTAATATTTGATAATTGTAATATATAATATATTATATATATTATTAATAATTTATAATATATTATATATTTGATCAACAAGAGAAACACAATAACGTGACAACAATAATGTGACGACATGTCGCACAGATAGCATATCATAAAAAAGGTAAAAAAAGAAGAGATGAAACAATAAAAATGAGAAGGATAGAATAGATGATAAAGTAAATGATTGAGATATTTAAACAATAAGGAACGGAGGAAATAAAAGAGAGAGAGTTTAATTGAATGTGTCCACTAAATTAGTGAAGTAGTTTGTGAAAATAAAAATTGTCGTCAACTGCAACGAATGGTTGAAAATATTTTAATAGAAGAGTAGAAATAGAATAATTATTTGGTTGGAGAGTACATCCAGCAACTGATTCGCAGGTATCATATCAAGCGAAGGACACTTTCCCTTTAATCCTGACCCCACGTTCGTAAAGTTAATAGTCTTTGGGCCAATAGCAAGACACGCTAAGGACCTGCGACTTGTTATGAAGATTTTCACGTCGAACTTCAACGAGTTGTCGCGTTTCGACGAGCCCATTGACCTGAAGACGGTCCGAGTATTGTACATAGAGAAGATGGACACTATTTTTGATATATACAACACTACGTCGGACATAAAGGAAAAGATTAAGGATGCCGCACGACACTTGAGAGGGATCGGCGCGCACGTGGAACAAGTAATCTCATGATATCCTACGATATTCTCTCAATGATGAAAAGAAATCATCTTTTCGTGATAAAATACTATTCCCAATGTCTTCGTTTGCAAGAACATATAGGGTGTCCCAAAATGATGAAACATCCGGGAAATGAGAGGTTCCTGAGGTCATTTGAAGTAACTTTTTCCTTTGCGAAAATGCAGGCCGTGGCTTTGTTTACTTCGTTTATTACGAGTTATTTACTGCCGCTTTGCGCCAGCCGAGCTCGCCTCTCATTGGTCAGTGTTTTTCGTTAATAACTCGTGAACAAAGCCACGAACTGTATTTTCGCAAAGGAAAAGGTTACCTCAAATGACCTCAGGAACCTCTCATTTCCCGGATGTTTCATCATTTTGGGGCACTCTGTAGAATAACGAGCGTGGCAGACGTTTAATCAATGGATGATTGTTATTCCAGCTGTCGCAAGAGTACGTGAAGTATTCACACTTGTACATGCTAGCTACAATCTGCGATATACAAGTGCCTGATGAGATGAATATTCCTAATGGTGACAAGGTGATACAATGATTTCATTAACTATTTGATCGGCCACTTTCCTTGCAATTCTTGTCCTCGCACGTAGATGATTAAGATCAAAGTTTACGTGATTACTTTATCAATTAAAATTACGTTCGAAGACGCATAATATTTGGAGAAAGGTAGAACTCGTCGAGCTATGTGTTTGATGATTTGATCTTCGCAGATAGCCCTGATGTTGATCGAGTTCTGTAAGGCGTTGCTGGGATTATCGAAGTATTCGGCACAATTGGTGTTATCAACGATATTTACGGAGCAAAATGCCTTCTTGTCGCCGAAGGAGAAACAGCAATTGAACGGCGAAAAAGAGATCCTTCGTGAAAAGCTGAACGTAGGTCAATGACAGCCTTAATCTAATTCACGTAATAATTCTCTAATACTTCTAAAAATCGATAACTATACGATAGCTGATTTATTCAGCTTCGCTAGCTGAACTCCAATCGTTAGATTTCATTGCGAATCGATGTGCTCGCAGATTCTGTTGGACGAAAGAACCGTAATTTTACTGCCGACGTTCACGCAACCAGCGAGCTACGCTGAAGACGTTGTCCTGAAAACTGATTGTACAACATACGCCGCGTTAGCCAATATCATGCAGTTTCCAGCGACACACGTGCCGATGGGTTTAAACAAAGACGGTTTACCTGTCGGATTCCAGGTGATTAATTAAATATGACGATTAATTAACCATCGAATCGGATTAAGAACCGATTCGAGTTACAATGAAACATCAATTGAGAACAGAATCGACCCAGAAAGATCAAGCTTCATTGGAAATGGTTGTTGTTCAAGCGACGAATCGATTGCTAATTCTAAGATCGTTCGGAGAAAAAATAATCGCGAGGCTGACGGAAAAATCAATTTCACGGATCTAATAAATTTTCAGATAATTTTGAAATTTCAGGTGATGGCTGGCTGCAAGAACGATCATCTTTGTCTGGCGATCGCTGAAGAATTAGAGAGAGCGTTTGGAGGCTGGGTGCCACCCCCGTATTGAATTAACGTTTCAACGCTTTTTACAGTCTTTAATGTAGTTTATAAATGGACTGACTTCCATTTTTTCTAACAACTGTTTTATAACAACTGAAGGATTTATTATTAGATTAGAATATAATATATACAGCGATTTAATTCGAAAATGCATGGTGTAAATTATAAAATATATTTAGTAATTGTAAATGCTGTACTGTTGTAATTACCGTACAGCTTAAATTTGGCTTTAAAAGCGGCTTTGATTGCTCGAATTTCGCTGAAATGAAAGTATTCACAAATACTGTTGAGAAGACACACTCTGCGTTCGGTCCTATAGGAGAATTTGAGACGAAATTTGAGACATTATCCCAAAAGTTGCAGGCAAACCTTGTAAAAAAAATTCCTAGCTCTTTTTCGTGGAACATATAATGATCCAACGATTGGTAAAAGAAATGCGGTTCGATATAGCAGAGGCGGACGAGCGAAGATATACCGTACAATGAGAAGCGTTTCGATCACGAGCATAAGTCCGTGCCGGGAATAGCAGGCTTGCTAATAGCGCAACGATTTATGAAGATTTCAGCGCGCTGACTGGCGAGACCGAGCGTGGAGCGACCCTCAAAGTTGATTAATGAACGAGCCCCCCGATCGGTTCGATTAAACCAGTGTAAACGAAAGGCCGACTGATAAATATCTGCCGATATAAACGTCGGCATTACGTCGTGACTTCTCGCATAAATCAAAACGCCGCGTCGGCGACGGGGACGCGCGTTAACTCGGCGAACACGCGTATTGTTGCGCCGATATTTTAAATAATGAACCCGCGATAATCGAAAATACAGTGAGAATTCATTTTCTCTGATGGGAGAAGGGCGACCAGATAATGACGCGTCAGAGTTCATAGATCATCGGACATGTCCCATCGAACTGACAGAATTATTTTATTAACTGTTAATGGAATGTAGATGTTTATGTGATCCGGGCACGTGCAAATTTATGAAATCCGAGAATGCTATCTCTGCTATGTAATGATTCCGATCGTTCTGCCCGTTTCAAAGAAACATAATCTTGATCTATATAAAGGAGGATATCATGTTAACTTGGATAATGGAGAAATTACACAATAAAGTTAATAATAATAATAAAGATAATTATTATAAGTTACGGTGAAACATTTATTTGAAAATAATGCTTAAAATCGATAGTTCTGAATGGACAATACCCTCTCAAATCAATTGCAAGAAAACAATATTGATTGACCTTTGATTAATCGTCATACATAATAGTTTATATCAGTCCCATTTAAAATCGATTAATCTAAATTTCTATCAGAAATATTTCTATCTATTATTATTCAAATTTCCTAATCTTAATATTATACACTTATATCCATAATTAGAAGATTTATTAAAATTACTTGAAAAGATATATATTAATGAATATTAAATAAACAAATTCCATTTAATTGATATGATTCCAATATAAAATCAATGTTAACCCCGTCCCATTTAAAAAGATACGTTCATAGTTTGGAATCGAAGAGATAGACGTAAGTTTGCGGATTAATGATTCGCAGAGGGAGATTCGCGAGAGGGAAAAGCGGTGGGATAAGATGACATCAGGAGATTGATCTCGGGTCTTTAAGTGTGTACCGGAAGGCACGCGCGCGCGTCAATAGAGAAATAGGGGAGAAAGAAAACGTGTGAGTATATCGTCGCGGCGCGGCGGGGCTGCCGGTGACAGTTCTGTCTTCACAGGCAAATTTCACTTTTTGTCAACCAACAGTCGTTTGAAAGGAACGAATATTGGATTCGGTTATTACATCTTCGACCTTCACCCGAGATCCCGTTCCCCCGACTCGGTTCGCAACCGGCATATTGAGATATCGTCTTCGACTCGAGCCGCGAGATAATTCGCTCGAACGAGTACACCGGGAGCGGTGTTGCCTGGGAAACAGTTCGTCGCTAATTTTCCGTTGAAACCGTCATCGAGTCGAAAATATCTCCTGCCGGCCCGGCCCTCCTGCTGTCATTACCACGAGCGCGGAAGTAGATCGAGTGACGCCGGTTTTGCAAGCTGCGTCGAGTTCGGCGTGTCGCGCGCTAAAAATCTGATGTCTGTTGCAAATGCGCGCAAAAAGATCGATAAATCAGCTTTCGAGCTGGCTGGAGCACCGAAATTTTCCCGGCGACCGTGTACAGAGGTATCGAAAAGGTGACGTTTCCTTTATTTGCGATAACTCGGTAGCGGAAACCGGGGCATAGAGAGCCTCGGGGCAAAGAGAACTTTGCTGGAGATTTATTTATAAAATTAAAATTGATGCGATAGAAAATTATAAACTAAATTGACTTATCGGTATAACGATCGGTATAATGATTATATCCGTTAAATTATAATATCAGGTCGTCTCTCATAAGTTCGTGCTTTTTTCTGTTCCCCCTTTTTTTTAAATATCTGTGGACAGATAATTTTGAAATGGACAAAATTTCTCAAACATCTCTAGAACGTGCTTAATCTTCGGGACAAAAAATTCCTTTACAAAATCAATTAAACATGTCAATAAGTATAAATATATTCGCGGCACGAATTTATGAGACGACCAAATAATACTTCTATTTGGTGAATGGATAAAGTAATAAAGCATATATAATCGATATATGTATAAGTTATTTATTCGAAATTTCATTAGCCATCTTTATCTGCGTGTTCATGATTTCTACAAGTATTAATATATTTTATTAATAACAATGTAAAATGACTGAAAAATTATTAAAGTAATCGATTAATGATAAACATGTTAATCGGGGCAGACGAAAGACGCGTGAACGAAGTGTGCAGTGATTTAATCTACACTTTTTCACCAAAGATTGGTTAACCTGAAAAAATATAACTACGTATAACAACCTAAATGTGTTTCAAAGTGTTGTTCTTAATTACAAACTGACGAACGTGTTAAACAGTTCAATATAATTAATTGAATACGTGAGGCAAAGAGTGCTAATTTACTTCGTTTGTTTATATGCAGTTTTAAAACTACTTCAAAGACTATTTTCAAATGTGATGTTTTCGAATTATATAGAGAAAATATTCAACTATAATTTCAATTTGTATCAATATTCTTTTGCTAAAGATAACGTTTTATATTCTTCTCCAAACATTTTTGCGCTAACTGCCCCGGTCTCTCCAAGCTGAAAACGAAAGCGCGAACGTTTCCAATTAAACCGGCATCGGTTTGGGACAATACGCAAGGCAAAAACAAAAAAGAAGAGAGATGGAGAGAGAGGGAGAGAGTGAATTCGGTTTGCTGGCAGTAGGATTTGCTTACAAAATGATCCGGCGCCGCGTCCTAACACTCGATCGACAATCTAAATTTCATCGGTGAGATTAGTGAAGCCATTGGCAGCCGTCTATTATCGGCTATTTGTACGATTCATTTTCGCCTGTCATTCTAAATGTCTGCAAAATTCTTGGTCGGACCGCTTGAATTCGTCGGCTGACAGTGAAATGTGCTGATAGAGATGCGCATACGAAACATCGTACACCGCAGCGCCGAAATACCGGCATAACTGCACGGAGGAAACGAAATCCAACGTCCATTAAAATGAACACACCCGGAGAGAAGAGGAATGAATCCGAAAGGATTACAAGTTGGACGCGATCGGACGTCGAGAATGACGGATCCGATAACGAAGGCTGCGGCGCTGCTTTCACGAGCGTTTCCGACGGACGCGCGCCAGCTTGCGAATCACCCGTGAAAAGAATCCGATCGACGCGACACGACGCGTCGGTGTAGCAGTAAAACCAGGAAGCCAGACGATACGTCAAACAACGGACGATTATGCATTTACAAAGTGTTTTATCCAGACGCGTCGGCGAAATCTTATCAACCAAAAGATATTGCAATGTCCAGAGTATTATAAAATTTTGGGCGCAAACGATACCGAGATTCTCCTAACTGTTTACGGAACCCGTGAAAATGACGGTTCACTAATTCTTTTATATGCGATTATTCAGATTGTAGAGATACATTTATAAGTTACTTATTCGACGCATGTGTCACACTTGTGGCAAATATTACAATAGCACTCGTTGAAAATCAGAAACAAAATCTTATCGTTACTTTTATAACTCTATATGAAACAGTTGCTTTTAGTGCTCCTTAAATGTAATCTTAAAGCGGAATTTCTTGCACGTGTCAAACGCATTTATACTGACGTAACGGAAAATAATGCTCCTGTTTTTCTAGAAGCGATTTTTAAATTTTAAATGTTGCGTCCGACGTGCGCGTCTGACGCTTATAGGAAATCCTATCAGCGGATTTTCATGCAAAATATGAAAAATATTCTGAAAAATATGCGAGAAATTGTTTCTTTCCCTAATAATTTTAATGGATTTTTATACCTGAATTTGAGGTCACCCGCGACCCTAACATTCTATTTCTATACGATTTTCTGGTAACAGCAAACTTTGACATTCTTCCATTATTTGATACACGAGTTAAAAATAAAATATTAATATCAATTTCGACGAAGCAGTTACGCGATCGTGTCAGTTTCAAAATCATCTCGAAAACATTTTACTTTAAAGTTTCAAATATTGTAAACTACGGTGATGAAAAGGTATTTCGAAAATTCCAAAAACCAATGAAGTTAATCATATTTATTTTTGTATGCTTTATTATTATTATTATTTTTTATAGCACAATGTTCCTGAAGAAGTTATTAGAAAAAGACCAAAAAAAAAACATGCAAAGATTCAAGGACCAGAAAATAGAAAAGAAATTCGTGAATCCATAAAAGGAATGCCTTGCTTGCGGCTTAGACTTCCGAATTTTATAGAGTCGGCTACCATGCTACCATGGAGGTAGCACGCGTGCAAACGTTTACCGCAAGAATGCAACGTCGTAATTGTAAAATGGCTATTCTTCGAAGGTCGAAGCGATAAGGGTGGCAGTGGTTAGATACGACCGCTGATTAAAAGTAGCCTAACAAAAATTGAACACTGGCGGAATCGAGCGCGAGGGTCGAGCTAAGCTAAATAGAATTTCCTGCTTTAATATCGGAATGCGACAGGTTAGTCGACGGTTACGAGAATGAACCAGAAAGACGTCGAAGGTGCGAACAGGGGGTGCTACAGCAACACGGCACAGGATGTTGGATGAACGGATGGCGGTAGTGGTGCCGGGGGGATGATGGGGGTTTGGCTGAGCGCGACGGGGGTGTTAGTTTCCTGGTCGGATATTAGCTGTCACGCGGCTCACTGGACAGCACAGCAGACACACACAAACACATATATGTATACAATATATACACGAGTATTGTATATATGTATATATCTGTATATCTACACAAACACACACACACACGGGGAGGAATCGGTGTAAAGGTAGCACAGTGCACCTAAGTATCGTGGACGCCCGACATTGGAAGCTTGCCACATTTATGTATAGAAAAGTCTGATCCATAGATACCAGCAGACGTTACGGAAACCGGATCGACCATGGCAACGAATGAATTCCTAGATTCCAACATTGGGTCTATCGTTTCCTCCGGCTCTCTTTCTTTCTCTTTCTTTCTCTCTCTCTCTCTCTCTCTTCCTCTCTCTTCCCGCGCTCATTCTTCCGTTTACTTGGCCGAAATCAGGCTTCCTGAAACGTTCGAGTGATCGATTCGCGATTACAGAGCCGAGGCCCTGGTATCGGACGGTTCTCGGTTAGGAGACCTAAGTTGACCTGCTGATAAGAATGGAGTGACACAGATAAGGGCCGGCCGTTTACGGTCAACACACCGGTCACCCCGTTGCGATTTCAGGAACTTACACTTTTCGGCTTCCTTCGTTTGTCCCAAATACATGTATGTATATACACGCCTCGCGTTGTCGCAATCGAGAGGAACGCGTGACGGAAAGAAGGTGACACGTAAGATGTACATATAGAGAAAGGGTCGAGCAGGTGACATATAATCGTTATATCACCAGACCGCTGATTTTATGCATTTATAACGAAACTGAGTGGTCGAAACACAAAACCGTGACATTATTAGAAGAATTCAACAACTCTCGATTATAACATTTATAACTTATTAAATTATGCATTTCCTGTTGATTGCATTCGTCGCACGAAATTCTTATTTTCCCTAGAGATTCGTAGTCTACTAATTATAATA